CAGATTGTGTTAAAGCTGCAGGGCTGGGCAGATTTTACCCCATGACTCTCCCTCAGAGCGGAGGAAGCCTCCAGGACTGCTGTTGCTGCTGCAGAGTATTTAGACATTCCTCCCCAGGGTGGGAACACAGCCCATTAGCATCACATGCTAACATGCCTGTGGACACAGACACACACCGGCTCCTTTCAGCGCTCAGACACGGTGAAGTAAGAACAATTCATGTGTTTCCTTGAGTGCCTCTCAGGGACATTTCACTTTATTTTGACTTTCTTTGAAGTGAAAATACAGAATTAACCCTTTCTAAAATAACTCAGTACTTGCACTGCCCTTATGCAGCATTTATAAGCAGCATATAAACATTTAATAAACGGCTTATAACACACTATAATATAGTTGTGAGCAGATGTAAGTGGACGCCTATGAGTGGAAACTGCTGTATTAACAGATAATGAACGACAATACAGTAAAACACAGCTGTAATGTGATTTCAAAAGAGGAGTTACAATAGATTTAATTAATAAATACTTTATATTATGGTTTTAAACCAATATAAGAACATTATAAAACATATTTTATGTTAAAACTCTTTATTAATGACTTAATATTTATATCTGCAGATTTGATTAAAGCTGTTCATCGATAAGATCAGAAGCCAACATGTTTCAGTTGTCGCTTTAACAAGATTTCCTGGTCCGCTTCTCAGGTACAATAAAGTTTACAAAAACATTTAAAAACTGCAGCAGACGATATTGCAGAGGCTCCTCCGCCCTCAGCCACACTGACATACAGACTGGCTGCACTGTCGCCTCTTTAATTGACAAAGTGTGCCAGTCAAGGCCACGTTCAACTCCCTTGGCCATCGAGCGCACGCATCTTTTGTGAGGGGAGTTCAAGTTTATTGAGGCTGACAGACAGTCGTTAGCTAATGCTTTGCCCATTGTGCAAACTAGGTTGATCTTTTTTCCCGTAATTATTGAAGGCTGTGTAACATCCAGTCCGGGCTTGCCAGCCGAGTCTGCCCGCTTTCACACTGACGGCTGTGTCGCTGTCTCCAGAGCTCGCTGCTCTGTTGCAACAAGCCACAGAAGAATGCTGCTGCATGGCACTGCTTCAGTGTTAACAATCCTTTCTCAAGAAACAAGTCGTCCCTGGATTCAAACATTATCTTATTGTTTACACTTTACTTAACCTCGCCCTATTTCACTTTTATAAGCAGCATATGTTTTATAACACTATAATGTAGTTCTATGCAGATAGAGGGACATTTGTAAGTGTTTATACATGTACAGTATTCGTGAACTATTATCATTACAGCTGTGTTTTACCGCATTGTCAATCTGTTTATATAGCAGCTTCCACTTCATAAATAATCATTAATAAACAGTTTTAATTGTCAATTCTGCAAATGCAAGTGTTAATATTGTCATAAAATGGGTCTTTTACCAGATTGTCTTCAGTGTTTTTACCTAATTAAGTGGTCACATCCTCTAACCAGTGAAAGGGATCTCTAAAGCATTCGTAAATGATTAATTAACTCTTAATAAAGCCATTAGTTAAAACTTATAAATGCCTTAAGAAGTATGAACTTATTGCAGGAATGTGCACTTATTGTACCAAGCTGTCAAGCTCATCAGTCTCTCAGACATTGCTCCATCTTTGGTCATGCAGGTCAGACAGGGAGGAATCATCACATCTGCACTCATCCTGACCAAACAGCAGCACACAGTTACTCAACTAAAAACTTTGAAAAGTTGTGAAACTTCAGATAATTCAGTGAGTCTGTGGGAGTCACAATAAAAAAAAAAAAGAAAAAAAAAAGCGTAAACTGGAGGACGAACACGGAGGCGGGCAGGATGAGGCAGACAAAGCATCGGGCCAAACTCATTGATCAGCAGTGAACGCTGTTCCTCCCTCGCTCGCTTTGTTTAGCTGAATCTCTGCTTTTCAGCCAGATGCAATTTGCTGCTGTTTAGTAAGCCAGAGGAGGCTTCCTGATGACTCAAGGTACAAACCAGCAACTCACGACAGAGTGGTTCACGCATTTACATCATTAATCCACATCTCCACCTCCCTCCTGTCCGTTTTCCTAACAGAAGTTCGTGACAAGCAAAACGCGTTGATATCATCTTTCTATTAGATTAGATATTCCGCTTTCCTGATGGCAAGTGTTGGCTTATTAATTTGAGTTTCCCTCAGGGTGTTTTCAACTTTCATCAACTTTCATCTCCGTGCCGCTTATAGTTAAACAGCAGCAAGACAAATTTTGTAACTGAAATAAAACTCCCAACAACTGCAAAGCAGTCAGACTGAGACGATTTCTAAGTAGGAATCCAGCAAAGCAAGAAACCACAGCATTTTTATGACTTGTAAAACTGAATTTAACAATTAAAATGCTATATTTAACTTATATTCAAGAGCTTTAAGGCTTGAGGAGAAGTAATATGATTCAGAACTGCAGACAGCCAGCTGCTCCACAAGAGGTGAGCAAACAGCAAGTTTCTGTTTTGTCTTTCTCTTTATCTTTCCATATCATCATTGACGCTCTGATACGAATCACACAACACATCAACACTGGTGATATCTACAATACAGGGCCTGGTGTTCTACTGTAAATCATCTAGACATGATTCAGTAACCATAACAACATTGGTACGCTCGCTCTGTGTGTGAATAAAGAATGTCCACTTTCATTCACAACAAATGAATAAATGAATGAAGCTTTTATCACTGTGTCTTGCATACAAAGGCTCACAGGTACAGGTAGGGCTGTGAAATGCTCTTTTTTTTTTTTGAGTGCCGAGTTTTCCTTGTCTGATCAACGCTCCAGTAAAAATTAAATGTAAAGTTAAAATTGTCAAACATTTGCTTGTTCAAGATTCACCAATGAGAAGATTTGTAAACTGGTAAGTTGGGTTTTTTGCCCATTGATCCAACAAGACACATTTGAAGGCAACGTCTTTGACTCTACAAAGCTGTGATAGGATTTTTTTTTTTTTTCAATATTTTCTGACATTTTATAAACAAAATAACAAGTTGATTAATTGAGAAAATAAATGACAGGATAATTAATGATGAAACGATCATTAGTTGCAGCCCCACAATGTACTGCCCAAAAGAAAACAGGACTCCCTTTCTCACAATCTGTTTTCTTCCCGAACATTTTTGAATTGATTAATCTCAGTGGCCAGAGGAAGAAAACCACTTCTCAGACCTGCAATTTAAGATTTTTGGGAGAAAAGATTCAGTGACAAACTTTTTGTTTTGATATGCACATAATGTATGTCCTTAGTTTGGCTTTGACAAGACAATAAAAGCTCACTTTTAATAGAGTTAACACTATTCATGTGGATATAAGATAGTATCCGTCTCCTCAAAGAGAGAGTGGAGCTCTTTCTCATGGACAAATGTGTCCCATTAAACACCACATAAAGAGATAAATTAACAGACACATGAGGTTATCTGCTCCATCAATGGCCTGATTAACCTTCTATTGTTGCCACAGGGCAAAAATTTGTCATTAGGCACCTATTGACCTCCATTGTTCACAAGAGTTTCATTAGGCACCCAGAAACCACAGTACACTAAGGCTGAAATATATATATGACTAACTGATTAGTAGACTGTAAGAAAATTAATTGGTAACAATCTTAATAACTAAGTTTTAAGCTTAAGGTATTTTTTTATTTTTAAGTAAAAGTGCCAGCAATTCGTTTGTTCCAGCTTCTTAAATGGGAACATTTGCATGTTTCCCCTGTTTTCTGAGAAAACAAACTCAACATTTTTTAAGTTGTTGAATGTTAATTGATACACAGAGAAAATTTTAATATAAAATGTATTCTTAAAAACAGCTTTCGACACATAATCTCTACAAGATAAGGCCACAAGGTGGAGGATGGAGGACCTGTCACAACTGATTCTGTATTTCAGTGGTGCAAATTTCTAACAAATTTGCAATTAATTAAATTATGCAAACAGAATATAAGCAGTGGCCTGTTTCGGTCAGTTGGTGGTTCAGCCTTGACTCTGTGCAACACAAGTTTGGTTCATGAGAACCTGATGCTACAGTACAAAAGCCAGGAAAACAAGTTTATTACACATCAGGTCCACCTGAGATTCAGTACACTGCACGATTTTCCTTTTTAATGTACGACACTTAGTGAATCTTTTGTGACGATGTCATCCTCAAAGTTAAAACAAAGACCTTCTTTCTACAAGTCTTAACACAGACTTCAATGTTCAGCAGATTAGGAGGTGAGGAGGTGAGCTGGGGGTCTGTCAGACTGCTGACCTCGGAGTGAAAGGTCCCTCAGTCCCCCCCCCCCCAGCACTCTGACTGACACTGATGAAGGAATCTGTCTAATCCTGGACTCAAGGCAGAATCTGTAACACACACACACACACACACACACACACCTCCTCAACCTCATACAAACTCAGCCACCCCAGGGCCAAAACACAGACAGGATGAGGAGGCAGGGGCCCTCTACAGGACACAAACACCACAGCATGACAGACAGAGTAGAAAAAGACACTAAATGATCATATGCACCATTTCAAGCCCTCGTGCACGATGTGGTCACAACAACAAAAACCAACTCCTCTACCTGTCGTAAAAAAAAACACCTGCATGGGCTCATCACCAGTGTTGTTTTGTATGCACATGTAGAGAGGATGTTTAGGAGCAAACACACCTGAACCGGGGGGGTTCAAATCAGGCCTCATATTCTGTTGTTGCACTGTAGCGACATAAAACACGTAAAAAACCTAATGAGGAAAAGTGAGGAGGACACACCTACACATCCTTTATTTACTGTTGCTCGACCGAAACTAGACAAGGCTGTAGTCTCCGGTATCGCCTTCAGAGAGGTGGATCTTTCTCTTTCTCCTCTGTGTACACACACACACACACACGCACACAAACACACACACACACACACACACACACACACACACACACACACACACGCGCGCGCACACACAAAAGCATACACACATTGTACCTTAGAAATTCTTGCAGACAGGTGTCACAGAAACGGTGTCCGCAGGTAGACACTTGGACCGGCTCCCGCATCGCCTTGCTGCAGAGCGGACACTGGAACCGTCTCTTTGGCTTTTCCAGAAACTTGTAGTCAAACCCGGGCATCGCTGCAGGTTCTGTGGATATTTCTCGGGCCTTCAGCTGCAGGTTAAAGGTTTAAAATGTCCTCCCGATCCTCTGGAAAACGGGGATATTCAGCTGCACCGCCGTTCAAGCCGACGAGGGGTTCATATCACGTCCCTTCCGCCACCGACAGATCGGGCTTTTTCAGGGAGGCGAGTCCTCCCCAGCTTCTCCTCCTGCAGCCCGGAGACTGATGGCAGCAAAAGCGCAAGACTACACAGTCCAGAAAACGCTGCAGAAATGATCACAGATTCGTCCTGTAAGCCCCCGTGTCTCTCTGCAAACTCGGGCTTTATTGTGGCCGGCAGTGCTGCTGTGTGGCCCTCTCCCCCTCTCCTCCTCTGTGGATGCAGTACTGACACACTGAGCACAATGCATAACCCCTCCGTCTGTTTAGGTGCACCGAGTCCCGCCTCCTCCTCCACGCAGGAGGAGTCAAGAAGCTGAAACACTGCTCACACCATTTTATCCCTCTGATCTCCCTTTATGGATCTTTAATTGGGCTTTTGTCTGGCTGCAGTGGCCTCTAATGAGATGCGCTGTTTGTTTTCCCAAGCCCATACTTAATATTAATTATTTATTTGTCAAGTAAAACCCTGTTTACCTCAGTAAACACACAAAAGCTGCTTCTGACTTTAGACATATTAAAACGGCAGTCTTGCTTAGGCTTACTGAAATCGGAAGTGGAGGGTCTGGTTATTAAGGTTTACATCAAATAAATATATAACATGAATAATAAAAAAAACAAAAAAACAACCTCATTCAGAAACCTAGAGCAGTCAGAGGTGATGGATGCCCTCTGGTGGTACAGAAAGCAAGCACATTGAAGCAAAATAGTATTTTTTTCTCAGAATGTTATAATGTTGACTATTTACATGACGAAAATAAAACCTTAACACTGAAAAAAAATGAAATAAATAATAATAACCAACTGGACATGCCTTTTGACAGTGGAAATAAAGAGCACATCCACACATTTAGATCATTTTCACCTGCTGTATTGCCACCAGATTACATCATCATTACATCATCATACAAGACAACAATGATAAATGATCCATGTCCTCAGAAAAGGTGTGAACACATCTTAAATAAGTAATAATTACTGTTACAATGTGATTACAGTTGGAAAAAAAGGCAAAAACTATTAGAATCTTAATAAATACATTAAAGGACAGATGTACATTAATATATATTAACTGAATATATAATAATCATCACAACAATCACACCAACTGTTAATTAATCTGAGCAAATTGTAAAGGAAATTACATAATGTATCAATGATAAATGTAAGAATAAGATTGTGGGGGCAGTATAAAGCAAAGGTGATAAGACTGTCAGACTAACCTCATCATTTTAAGGTGGTGATGTATAACTAGTTTTTCTTTTTTTTTAAGTTGAACTTCCCAGTTAAGATATGGATTTTCTATGAGTCTATGAGTGTTCTCTGAAAAATTTTACCCAAATACTCATTTCAGCAGCTTTTGTAATGCATTATATGTTGCCTTTCTGAAGACCTCATTGTCTCTAATTTAAAGCTTATCCACAGGGGAACTGTCCTCTGGTCTGACATACACTAATATACATACATAACATTTACCACAGGATTTCTTTCTCAGGCTGCAGGTCCAGCTGTTCAGAATTTGATTTCAGATGTCGACCAACAAGAGAAGATCTTTCTTTTTTTCTTTTCTTTTTTTTTTTAAAGCTTTAACACTAGAAAATGTCATGGTGACTGATAATGAATAAAAATGTAAATATATGAATACATTATGTACTGCAAGGACTTCACTTCTAGACACCAGTGGTGAAAAGTAACTAAGTGTAATCTTTGTACTTTACTTGAGTATTTCCATTTTACGGTACAGTATACTACTACTACTTCACTACTGTTCACAGGGAAACATTGTTGTTTTTACTCCACTACATTTATATGGCACCTTAAATTACTTTGCTGATCCAGATTATTAATACAACAATATAATCACTAATAAATTATGATGTATTACTATAGATTAAGTTAGTACTTTAAATTAGCCACACCTTTACCAGCTGCAACATCAGAGCTGCTTACACATGAATGCATCAATAATTATAATCTTTCAAAATCAAGCTGATAATACTTTTGTACTTTAACATGTAACACAGCCTTTTTACATTGTGGTGTTGATACTTCTGCTTAAGTAAAAGATCTGAGTACTACTTCACCACTGCTCGGCATACATGGGCTTCTGCTTTGGCAGTTTTCTTTTCTCAGCAGTCTTTGGTCACCCTATAAACACAGTTTACACCATCATATATGCAATCTCATTTGAAATATCACTCCCTATTTGTATGTAGTGCACTATATTTACTGTCCACCATTTTCTGAGTGTCCAAAGTGTCGAATGGTGACATTTACACTCTATATAGTACCCTGAAAGATTCATACAAAAGTATTTGCTACTAACAATCTCATAATCCAGGTTGTCAGTATTCATAGATGAATGTAAATAGCAATATGTCGATGATTCATAAGTGTTGGAAATCTCTATTTACTTCTCACTATAGACGAAACTATAAGGGAGTAGTGAATAAGTGGATGAGGGAGTGATTTCGGACACAGCCACAGCCTCTTCAACACCATAAAGTCTTGGTTCAGTCTAACCTTAAACAACATGTCGTTATCTGGTCTGAACACTGCTGTTGAGTTACAAATGTATTGGAGGACTAATCCAATAAAGCACAATGTGACCACTGACGACCTGATCAAGATTAATGTGTTTGGTTCAGCTGACTGATGAACTCTCAAGTGGCTTCATTCTTTTCGTTTCTGTGCATTGTATCATTGCATTCACCAGTTGCTCAAGAGAGCTCAAACCAGTTTGGCTTTCACTGACCTTTCATGGTTTATCATGCTTACCCTGCACGTGAGAGAGGACAATAGTTCACCACATGAAAGCTGCCTAATGACTTCCTGCAATCCGGTTTCAGTAAGGGTTACAACATCCCTTTAACCAGCCTGTTGTGAGCTACACCTGCAGAAACAGTCAGTTTTCGACCTTTTCTGTGCTTTGCTCCATGATATCAAGTCCCAGAATGAAACAAACATTCATTCCTGAAAGAAAAAAAACTGATAGAGAGGAAAGACCAAGTGACAATCTGAGGCCACAGCTGCAGTATGAAAAGGAATCTTTCAAATGCAGTGCAGATGGGCCTCTGGGAGGAGTATTCAGAGGAAGCTGTCCTTCACCTCACGCCACCGCAGGGCTTCATGACGACTGCTGAGTGGGTGTGGGTTCGTTTTCAGGACAAAATCATCTTGGGACAGGTTCCTCAAGCAAAGCTGAAACAAGATGGAGCAAAGGGTAGAATGTCAGTCAAGCTGAAATTACTAGTCAATTAATCAATTACTTGATCGACAGAAAATTAATTGCTAATGAGCAATTAAAGCTTTTGATAATGAGCAAAAATACCAAAAAGTTACTGGTTCCATCTTCACAAATGTTTTCTTCATTGTATCTGAGAGTAAACTGAATGTCTTTGAGTTTTGGACTGATGGTTGGATAAAAAAGGAATCTGAACATGCCACCTTGGCCAAACAGCAACTCTGTAGCTTGTAGCAAGGATTACCAACATCTGTATTACTTATTAAATTGTGGTGCAGTTTAATCTCAAAATCTGCAGCTATTTTCAATTTGGACTGTAGAGGGACGATTTAATCCCACCTTCACTGTTTTTCAGTTTACATCAGAATCTCTGGCTTGTGCACTATCACTGTAGGGGAAAGAGGTACAAATAGGTGAATTGATGTCTTCTCAGTAAGAGGCCTGTGGCCACATTATTCAGTTCAGTCTAAAATCAATAACCACAATGCAAAATTGGACTGAATTATTACTTTTGGCATGCAGATTCCAAACGAGTTTCAATATGGCCGAAAGGAAATAGTTTATGTAAACAGAGCACCTCACCACACCGCCTGTCAGATGCAAAGACTGTGTGAAATAAAGCTGTAGTCATGTTTTAGCCACTGAGCTTTTAAACTTATAAATGAGTGTTTTCACAATTCTACACAGAAAAACATGCTTCTCTGAGGGAGGCTTGTCTCACGTCTTTCATCTGGGGGATTAGTACCCTCTTTGTCAGATTTCACCACATCCCAACATCTTACAGTGTTTGTTAACAAAGGGTAATAAGCAAAATATTACGTTTCACTGCCAGCAGAGTGTTGCCATGACAACATGCCACTGATGTCACTGTGAACGGGTGACTCTCGTCAAGCTGCACCGCCTTTGGTTTCCCAGAATCCTCCTCTTTTCTACCGAGGCGGCCGCGGGCCCCCTTTCCCCAGGTGTACACCTCCCCTTCTGTGGAAAACAGGAGAACAAGGAGCTGGTTGCTGTTTCTTAACATTAATCCACACAAATCTGTAAGTGACGGCTTTATCTCTCCTGCAGTGGCAGCATAATGGCCCCATCCATAGGAAGCTGAACAAAGCTCTTCTCTAACAAAGGACACCTACAGGCATGGCTGGCACTGCTGGCTTTCTCACCAGGGAGTCAAGCACTGGCACCATATGACATTTTACCATTTTACCCTTAGCTTTAAGAACAAAATGCACATTTCAAAACACACACATCTGTTACCTATTTGTTAACCCAAGTGTTTAGAGGACCAAACCAATGGTTTTAGCCCATTAGCTGAAACCCTGGAGTAGTTTACATGACTGCTAACCATTTTCCAAAGCACAACATATGTTCCATGTAACCATTAGCTTTAAACTTTCAACTCTGTTTGACATGAAAATAAACTTGCAGAGACTTGAAACTTGTTTGAGTGACAAAATCCATCACAGTGAACATTTAATCAGCTTTGTTTTTGAGTTAAAGTTACATTACAGTCGTGCGGTCACATAGTTTAAAATGCACTGTCCTCAGTATCCCAGAATCCTCCTCTTTCTCTTCCGAAGCAGCTAAACCACAGACATCTGAAAAATGTTGTCTCTATTCAGAGCTGAGATGAAACCTGTTGTGTTTACTCGTGCGTCTCCTCCTCATACACAGCTCTAAACAACTGTTTTCATCGAAGGATTAACACTCAGGGAAAATAGAGTTTTTACTTTTTGAAAATGTCTCTTTTGTGTTTTTTGGTAACATCTAAAGTCAGCTGCATAACAGCAACTATTTTAACACAAAGTCACCAAATTCCCATCATCTTTTTTTAGAACATACCATATGTGTGTTCATTATTTGATCAGTGGACTTCTTCAGATATAAGAGTTTTCTTGAACACAGAGGAACAGTTTCAAGTAAGGCCCTGCACACATCTGGGTGATTTCACCTAATTTGGTTTATTAGACCTCCTCTAATGTCATGTTT